GTCACATTTTCAATTATTAATATTATATATTTTTATTTTATTTTACCATTATATTTTTTAATTCATCTAACAAATAAATAAATGTAAGATTTAAAAAAAAAAAGTAACATAAACAAATAATAATCAATTAAATTAAAAAAAATATTACATTAACATTTTTAGACTTTACTACATCTAGTCCATAATATATTTCCATTTTTCAGTTTCGACAGTTTGGCTACCTTCATGCTAGTTTTTGTGCATATTAATATTTTGAGTAATGATATTTACGTCGAATCATATGAGTTGAAACGGAGGTCGATTGACGTGGTTTACCACATTGTTCTTGTACATGGCTTTTCCTCTTCTTTTTTTTTTTTTTTTTTTTTTTTTTAAATCTTGATTTTTCTTTAAAAATAAGATTATAGCTCCAATAGAAATCATGAGGCCAAAACATCTTGTGAGATGGTGAAGACGATTTTAGGACCCAGAATTACAGCAAGACGAGCTGAGGGAGTCACTCATAGATTTCTTCACTACGGTCTCCACCGTGGTTCTCCTTCACAATTCTTTTTCCTTATCATGTTCATATACTGAAACTCAAGTTTTATTTATTTTTTCCCACTGAATTTTACCTCCTTATGTCTAGGGTTTAGATTCATGGTTAGATCCATGGTTCTCCTTCACAATTATTTTTCTCATCTTAGGTGTGCTAAATCTCAAGTTTTTTTTTTTTTTTTTCTTTCCACTGAATTTTACCTTCCAATTTCTAGGGTTTAGATTGAATTTCAATGTAACTCATAACAATTTCACATACTGGAGCCTAGATTTGTTTATGATTTCTCATAAAAAATTGACGACGAGAAAGACAAAGATGAGGACTCTGCCTTCTTCTATTTGATCTCTGTTGATGAATGCCTTATCTTAGGTAATTTCTTCCTTCAATCTCCTTTTCAATTTTTTTCTTTAATTACCTCTTTACAACAAGGTGGATTTCTGTCATTGAGAATTTCCCTCTTCGATCTCTATTTGAATTTATTCTATGGGCATTTTTACCAAGGGAATTGAATTGTTATCTGTTGCCTTCTCTTGGAAGATTACTGTAGAGTTTAAGCAGAGGAATATTTTCGCTGGGTGGATGGTATTACTTCAATATGGCAGAGGAGTTTGATTTTAACCACATAAACCAAGATTTTAACCCCACCCCCTAAAAAAAAGGCCACGTGAGTGAACAACATGGCAAATCTACCAATCTGTTAACTTGACCTTAACCTAACTTGTAAAAGCAAGTTAGGGTCACATAGTATTGGACATGTGATCTGTTTGAATTAATTTGAACTGTTCATGAGTCAAATATGGGTCAACTTGCGGGTTCATAAGTTGATACATTTGATTCATTTGTTTTTAAAATTTTTTAAAAATATTTTTATAAGATAATTTTTTAAGATAAAACAATTAACAAATATAATTCAAAAGAAATCTAATATAATGATAACTATTATAATTTATAAAACTTTTCAAAAGGGATTGATTATATTTATTTCAAATTTATAAATTAAGTATAGTATATTATATATGATTATCTGTAAAGAAAAAAAATTAAATGAATCATTCAAAATATATTTCACAATTAATAAGTCAGTTTGGTAAAACTAATTAAATAAAGAGAAGCAAAATAAATAAAAAAATAATCATATATTGTCTTATACTTTAGATTCTTTATACAAATGATTGGTGTACAATTTATATTTGTCTCTTAGTCATCTAAATGGCAAGTTTTCAAAAGTCAAGGCTCTCGGTTTTTTGGTTGTAGTTTGAACAATTTAAGTGAATAAAATGGAGATATTTTTAAAAATTACCCATGAGATGAGAACAAAATATTCAAGATGATTCAAGTAAAGTCTTTTATGTTTGGTTAAAAGATAGGTTACAAAGTGTATTATTTTCCTTTTGTAACTTATGCTAATTCTTAATTTCTATAGCTACTTTTGTTTGTTTAAGTTTTGTTAGTTTAAGAAATTACTTGTATTAGAGTGTGTAATTAATTATGTACTTAGTGCACCCCAAATAATAATAATTTTTTGAATAAACTAGAGACAAATATGATAATTGAGATTTGAAAATACACACATCTTATATTTTTTGGTTCAAAGTTACTATAATTTAATTTTAATAAATTAATATTAAAAATATGACTAATTATATTAATGAATAAAAAAAGATTCAACCCACAAGTCAACTCATGACTCATTAGAGTCGTGTTAGGATCAACACCTATTAACTGACAATTTGTAGACAACCCAACCTAAAAAACTTGTTAGCCAAGTAAACCCAACTTAAATCTGACTTAAGTCGTTAGCATGCTACCTCTAAACCCATATGATTCGACCTAAATATTATTACTTAATATTAATATTTTTAGAGGTAGTTTTAAGGACACAATGCTTGTATGGAGTGAAACTGACGTGGACAAGGGGCCAAGCGCAATAGGAGCAACTTAGTTTTTATATTTAGAATATTTGGTAGTTTAGAATTCCTTTCTAATTTAGAAGTCATTTCTTTATTTGGAGTTATAGGTTAGATTTTCCTTTTGAATTTGGGAATTGCCCTAAACTATTTAAGACCTTTGTAAGGCTCTAGCCGGCAGACCTTTGTTTTGAGATTTATTGGATTTTCTTTTTCCAAAGAGTTTTTTTTGTCTCTTGTGGAGCTTTCTTTGAGCCTAATGTGCTTAGGTTTGTTTAGTTTGCTTCATGCTACGTCAGGTAGTACTAGAGTGGGAACGGCTAATCCTAGTATCATGGCCGACGGGTTTGGAGGAAATCATCCTGACGTCACTGGATAAGGGATGAAGACAGTTGTAGATATGGAGTGCAGATTTGAAAGGTGACTCATAGAGATAAAAAAGACTCTCGACGAGATCCGCACAAGTTTGCGCACTCTTGTAGTGGATCCCAATAGGAGGTTGGAGGTAGCAAGAGATGCTGATTGAGATGTTGCTCAAGAGTGCCTTGTTGATCAACACCATCTTATTAATTGGAGATTACATGCATTCGAGTGATGATGATTTTGATGTTTCCCAACAAGTGGTGAATCGTGGGAACCCAAGGAACACCAGGGGACGTGGATGTGGCTATGTTAAAGCATTTGGAGGTGGCTATGGAAGAGGACATCGAGAGAATTACTATGAACCAGAAGGCTTTCGTCTGAGAGTTGACCTTTCTACTTTTGATGATTCTCTTGATATTAAGGGATTTTTAGACTGGTTGTCAGAAGTAGATTGGTTCTTTAATTACATGGACACTTCAAAAGAAAAGAAAGTGAAGTTGGTAGCATATCAGTTAAAAGGAGGTGCTATCCTATGGTGGGATAAAGTATAGGAGAACCGAAGAAGAGAACCATTTGTCTTTGGCCATGCATGAGGCAAAAGCTTCGAGCCAAGTTCTTGCCTCCTGATTATGAACAATATTTATTCTCTCAATATCAAAAGTGTGTGCAGGGACAATGAACAATACATGAATATATAGCTGAGTTCCTATGTTTGGTTGCTCGGAACAATCTACATGAATCTAAAGGACAGCAAATCTTTAGATACCTTTAAGGGTTACGACCAGCATTAAAAGAGAAAATTGGTGTCCAGGTTATACGAAGTGTGTCAAAAGCTCAAAGCTTAGCCCACAGAGCTTAGGTAACAGCAAAGGAACATTGAGGAAAGGGGGTTGAATTTTATTGGGAAGGTTATAGTGCTTCTAGCTCAAAGTTTGAAGATGACCTTGCCCACCCTACACAAAATATATCGGCAATAGACAAGCCAACATTGAGGAACACAAGCAAGAAAGCAATAGAAGAAGCTGAAGCTTATAAGGTGTCAAATTCCAACCTGTATGCACGACCAATCAATGGAAAGTGTTACAAGTGTAATCAACCGGGGCATAGATCGAGTGATTGTCCTCTTCACAAGAAAGTGGCTTTGATTGGGCAAGGAGATGATGTTAATGAAGTTCTTTATGACCCAAATGATGATGGAGATTATGAGGAAGATGAACACGGGCAAACTTATGTGATAAGGAGGACCATGTTGTCACCAAAGGTAGAGGAGAACACCCAACGGTGTTAATCATTCCAGACAAGATGTGAGGTCCAAGCAAAAATGTTTGATTTAATTATAGACAATGGGAGTCAAGAGAATATAACTGGGAAGGAAGCCATTGAAAAGTTGCAACTAGAAGTCGAGAAGCACCTGAGTTCCTACACAATTGGATGGATCAAGTCTAGAGATGAAATAAAGGTGATAGAGCAGTGTAAAATTTCATTTTACATTGACAAGTATTGAGATGAGGTTTATTGCGATCTGGTTGATATGGATGCATTCCAAATTTTGTTTGGAAAACCCTAGCAATTTGACACGGATGCTTAGTACTTTGGAAGGGACAATGTTTATCGTTTAGTCAAGGAAGGGGTACCCTACACTTTGCGGCCTTTGTCAAGGAAACCAAAAGCAAAATCCACACCACCAAATGCAGACAAAACATTCTTGCTGGTGGTTAATTCAAGGAAAGAATTTCTAGAGGAATGCAAAGAGGTGAAGGAGGTTCACGTTTGCTAGTAAAAGAGTTATAGAACCAAGTTGGGAAAGGAGAGCTTCTTAGGGAGGTGAAAGCCATCCTAAGTGAGTTTCCAAACTTAATTTTTGATGAATTACCTACTGGGCTACCACCAATGAGGGATATACGACATCATATAGACCTCGTGCCGAGAGCCAGTTTGCCAAATTTACCCCATTACCCAATGAGTCCAAAAGAGAATGATATTTTGCGAGAGAAGGTTGAAGGGCTACTAGAGAAAGGTATGATCAGAGAGAGTATGAGCCCTTGTGTTGTACCTACATTGCTCACACTAAAGAAAGATGGAAGTTGCCGAACGTGTGTTGACAACAGAGCTATTAATAAAATTACAATCGGGTACAAGTTTCCCATATTTCTGCTTGATGACATGCTGGACCAACTGCACGGAGCTAAGGTGTTCATCAAGGTAAACCTTCAAAGTGGCTACCACCAAATTCATATTAGACTTGGGGATGAGTGGAAGACAACTTTTAAGACTCAAGATGGGTTGTATGAGGGGCTAGCGATGCTGTTTGGCTTAAGCAACGCTCCAAGTACCTTCATGAGGCTTATGAACCAGGTACTTAAGGCTTTCATTGGTCATTTTGTTGTGGTTTATTTTGGTGATATTCTAATTTATAGTAAGACAAAAGAACACATGGGTCACTTGTTTGAGGTACTAAAAGTGACAATAAACTGTTTTTGAATTTTAAAAAGTGCAATTTTATGGTGGAGAAGTTGTTGTTTTTGGGATATGTCATTAGTGCCCAAGGAATTCAAGTTGATGAAGACAAAATTTGTGCAATTAAAGATTGGCCCACACCAACATCAATAGGTGAACTACGGAGCTTTCATGGACTTGCTACTTTTTATTCTAGATTCATTAGAAATTTTAGTGCCATTGCAGCTCCTATTATTGAATGTATGAAGAAAGAGAAGTTTAGATGTGGAGACAAAGAAGAAAGAAGATTTGTGTTATTTAAAGAGAAGTTTTGCATAGCACCAGTCTTAGCTTTACTAGATTTTGGAAAGCTATTTGAAGTGGAGTGTGATGCTTGTGGAGTGGGCATTAGAGTAGTACTTTCCCAAGAGAAAAGGCTTGTAGCTTATTTTAGTGAGAAGCTCAATAACCCTAGGTAGCAATGGACAACATATGATAGGGAGTTTTATGTAGTGGTGAGAGCCTTAAAGATTTGGGAACATAATCTAATTAGCAAGGAGTTTGTTCTATACTCTGACCACCAAGCACTGAGATACTTGAATAGCCAAAAAAGACTTAGTAGTGACTTACATGCCCGTTGGTCCTCTTTCTTGCAAAACTTCCCTTTCAAGCTTATTCCTAAATTTGGCTCTCAAAACCGAGTGGCAGATGCCTTGAGTCGAAGGACGATGGTACTTGCAATTTTGCAAAGCAAGCTAGTGGGATTTGAACAATTAAAGGAATTATATAAAGATGAGCTAGATTTTCAAGAAGTTTGGTCTTGTTTACAAATCCAAACCCTTGTAAATGGTTATTACTTGTATGAAGGTTTCCTCATGAAAGACAACCAACTTTGTGTTTCCTGATCTTCATTAAGAGAGAAGTTGACTAAAGACTTGCACAAAGGAGGTTTAGCAACTCACTTGGGTAGAGATAAGACTCGAGATGCTGTTAAAGATCGTTATTTTTTGCCGAAATTGCAAAAGGATGTAGAGCATTTTGTCAAAAAGTGTAATGTGTGTCAAACATCCAAGGGTCAATCTCAAAATGTGGGACTTTACATGCCACTACCAATTCCAGAAACGGTGTGGGAGTACTTATCAATGGACTTTATCCTCGGTTTGCCTAGGACTTAAAGGGGCATGGATTCTTATTTTGTTGTTGTTGACAGGTTTTCCAAAATGGTTCATTTTATTCCTTGTAGGAAAATGGTAGATGCCACAAATGTTGCTAGACTCTTTTTCTGAGAGGTAGTGTGTTTGCATGGGGTGCCAAAATCAATAGTATCTGATTGTTATACTCGTTTTCTTAGCCAATTTTGGATGACTTTATGAAAGATGTTTGATGCCTCTTTAAATTTTAGCAGCATGACACACCCTCAAACTTACGGACAGACAAAATCAATGAGCTATACACTTGGGAATATGATCCATAGCATTTGTGGGAACTGACCATGATAGTGGGATTTTGCTTTAGCCCAAGTAGCATTTGCTATGATAGTGCAATGCATAGTGCTACAAGGAGGTCTCCATTTTCCATAGTTGAAAGTGCCTAATCATGTTGTCAACTTAGTGAAGTTTCCAGGAGTGAGAGGCATTAGCACTGCAACAGCAAACTTGGCTATGTAAATCCAAGAAGTTCAAGTTGAGGTCAGAGCCAAGCTTGAGGCAACAAATAGCAGGTACAAGCAAGTAGCAAATGTGCATCGAAAGGACAAGGCATTTGACATAGGAGATATGGTAATGGTCTTTTTGAAGAAGGAACGCTGTCCAACAGCTACCTATAATAAGTTGCTGCCATGCAAGTATGGTCCTTATAAGATCCTCAAGAAAAATAATAACAATGCTTATGTGGTCGACTTACTGGCAACAATGGGTATTTCTCAAACTTTTAATGTTGCTGATATTTCTCCCTACTTTGATACAAGTGAATCACTTTATCCTAGGGACATTGATGACAACTCAAGTATGAGTTTTTTTTCCAAGAAGGGGAGACTAACGCGGACAAGGGACCAAGCCCAATAAGAGAAATATAGTTTTTATATTTAGAATGTTTAGTAGTTTAGAATTCCTTTCTTCATTTGAAGTTATAGCTTAGATTTTCCTTTTTAATTTGGGAATTGCCCTAAACTATTTAAGCCCTTTGTAAGGCTCTAGCCGGCAGACCTTTGTTTTGAGATTTATTGGATTTTCTTTTTCCAAAGAGTTTTTGTTGTCTCTTGTGGAGCTTTCTTTGAGCCTAATGTGCTTAGGTTTGTTTAGTTTGCTTCACGTTGTGTCACAAACAGTCAAAGAAATTAATTACCATTATTATTCGCCTTAAAACTTTGAATTTTGGAATGTATGGCTTACTTTGATTTCTAGTGCATAATATCCTAATATTGATTTTCGGACTGAGTAAAAAAATAAAAAATAAAAAATATTTTTTAATTTAAATAATATTAAATTATAAATATAAATTATTAAAAAAAACGTTAGTTTCTTTTTTTTGAACATTCATGAGAAATAAAACGTTAGTTTCTTGATATAAAGTCTGTGTATCACTCGTATTTATTTTTTCAGTTTAGTATAATTTA